TTTTTTTTTATAAGTACACCTCCTTTATTTTTTTTAAAAAAATTATAAATATTTTTTTTTTAATTTTATATATCCAACTTTTAATTTATTATTTTTCTTCTTTTTCACACATCTTTTTTCTTTTTCAGTTTTCACATGAATCATTTGGTACTTCTCTAATTTTTTACCTATTATCGAAAAAGTCACACATACCTATAATATTATTAAAAACTAGTTTTATGTTTTACATGTGTGTGAAAACTAAAAGCAATAAAAGAGGAGATAAAAGTAAGAAAATTAAAAGAGGAGGGAAGAAGAGTAATGTAAGACCAAAAAAAATTAAAATTACCTACCAAAATAAGTGAGGTGAAAGAAAGGTAAGAGGGTGCATGTAAAAATCGAAAAAATGAGAAAATATGTATAAAAAAAATACTAAATTAAATGTTGTGAGTGTAAAATTAAAAAAACTAAACATAAAAAAGATTAAGAATATTTAAAATTTTAATCTTTTTTTTTTTTTTAAAGAAGTGTATTTATAAAAAAAAAAGTGTATATATCATGAACCAATAAACATTTATTCAAATAAAATTGGGCCCTAAATGTAGTCATTGAACCAGGCTGGTTTGATGGGAATTCTTTTGGGCCATTGGGATTGGCCAGCGTGTTACTATAAGTCCATTTAAAAAAAATATATTTTATCCACTTGGATATTTGAAGTAACATATATATATATATATATATATATATTAAATTACATTGATACCAATTACCACACTACTCAATAATTTTATATTAAATGTGAATTTTTTAAATTTATCGTTGGATTGAAAATTTTATACTCTTAATCATTTAAGATAATCAGTAATTTATATAGATTGAAATTAACATAATATATAAATTTCAACATACACTAAATTATGAACAATTTAATTACCTTCAAATTGTTACTCAATTTAACAAAAATTGACATAAATATACAAAGAGACATGAAGTTATTATTCACAGACAAAAGCTATAAGAAAATTAATAATTGTTAAAAACAGAACAAAAACCGGAAGTATATGACTAAGCACAAATATAACATGTTGAAATGAAAAAATGTACAACTTCACACATATAAAAGGGAGCAAAAACTAACTTAATATATGAGAAATACTAGCGACACATGACATTCTTTTTAACATTCTAATTGGTTGAAGTTTACTGAAAAACACAAAATTTGGTAGGACTCACATCATATTTAATGATTCTCTCTCTTGATTTTGTAATTTTCTATAAATTCTAACTAATAAGAATGAGTGTGTTAGGATGAATGTGTTAGAGTATGCGTTGTTAGTATTATTCCTAATATATTTATGTTATAAACCCAGTTTTACATATACTAAAAGTCTTACAACAAGTATTTAAATACTAAAACTAACTAACTATTGATTGGACAAAGTTAAAATCAAATTACGATTAAGTTAACTAGTAAACATCATTTGTCTACATAATTTTTCAAATGTGAACAATTTTTAACCAAATTTTCAAGTAAAACAGAAAATTACATAAAGTTGAGCCTTTAAAATATTTTATTTTAACAATTAGAAAAATCACGACACTCAACAATAATATTATAAAACCAATTTTTAAGTTTATAAAAATATTACTTAAAATATTATATAAAATATTAAAAAATATCTCTGAATTATATTATCATAGTGTTTACGGTGAAATTTGTTTGTGGACTCTTTATATTCGAACTAGCACGATTTCACGTTTCAATTTATGCGTGTTCGTGACATGACAGAACCGAAGACTTTCAGTGAAAAAATAAAATCCTTCATTAAATGGTAACAAAATTACAATTCGTAAGGATAACGAAACATGTTCAGAATGACTACACTACACTAGGCTAGATTATGCTATGCTACGCTACTCCTAAAAAAGGAAAAAGAAAGGTGGTCGAGAAATCGTACCCAAAGCTGTCTCGTATGCACAGTATGCCTTATGCACAGGCTGCGAAGTGAGTGTGGGGTATTGTGGGAATTAGATTTCTGACCCCATGCTACGAGCATGACTCGTTTAATTTATAGACAAAGATTTGGGAAAGCTAACTGTTTCTGACGTGCCCCGGAAGTGCATAACCGTTCTAAACTTCCACATCGTGGCTTATTCCCGGGCATGTCTTTGGATAACTCTTGGAACTGCTCATTAACACTCTTGGAACTGCTCATTAACTGCTCATTAACACTCTTGGAACTGCTCATGAACTGCTCATTAACTTCCCCAAACCGTTCTGCAGCCTTTGACACTTATCCCATGATTTACTTCACCGCTCTTAAATCGTGTCTCCTTTAAGCTCTTCATTCTGAGAGGTTGCGAAGGGTGTTCGTGTATGTCCGGATTCTTGGGATTTCGAGTAACCAACGAAAAATATACTCGAGTGTTACTTGATTTTTCTTGTACTTTGAGAGGTTGTGAGGCTGTGAGCCTTTCTCCTGAGCAGCGTCCTTCCTATTTCAATGATTTCTAGAGTTTCACGAAAAGTGTCTTCGTGTCCTTCCTAGTACAATGATTTCGAGAGTTTCACGAAAAGTGTCTTCGTGTCCTTCCTAGTACAATGATTTCGAGAGTTTCACGAAAAGTGTCTTCGTGTCCTTCCTAGTTCAATGATTTCGGGAGTTTCACAAAAAGTGTCTTCGTGTATCTCTTGATTCTATTCAGGCTTCGTATGCCTTCTTCAGAAACTTCTTTGCCATTTTCCGATCATCTAGGATTTTGAGCACCTCTGTATTTTGAGTGCCTCCGAATTCATTTTTCGGTACTAACAAATGCTCCCCTGGAAAACATTTGTTTCGAAGTAACTGAGAAAGAATGTTTTTCAACGCCTCAACTCTCTTTCTTTAATAAGACCCTAGAGCATTGTACTCTTCGCGAGAATTAAATGCCCCTGACATCTTTTAATTCTGAATTTCTCCTTTTCGTACCTGCTGCTCCATCTTCTCGGGATGTTATCGAAATTCGTGAATCAGCTCCTCTTGAACGTCCTGAGGTATGTTTTGTTGACTTTCGATTTTCCTCGAGCCTTCTCAGCTTTATAATTTCATTATTTCATACTCCTCGAAAGCCTTAGCTGCTGATCTGTCAAACACAACGCTACACCTCGCACAAAGCATAACTTCACGATCATTATCTTTCTTCCTCGAAAGGAAATCGAGCAAATTGTCCCCCTCTTTCGGATACATAGGTTCCTGCTCTTTCGTGAACTCATCTAAGAGCTCTTCCAATTTTTCATCCGTAATGGGTTCGATAACTTCCTCTTCGTTCGCAACCAGGTCAACCATATCGATTTCAAGCACATTGATCCCCATAGGGAGAGGTTTCACATATTCCTGCTTGTGCAGCGAATGGATCAGTATCAATTTTCATTTCTTCATTTAGACATTCGAAATTACCATCGTTAACATCCATATTGTCTAAATATGCCACTTTTTCTTTTCGAACAAACTTGTCAATTTTCTCAACCTTTCTTTCTCTGCTCGAATTTGTTCAATTCGTCTCACTTTCTCTGCTAGTTGAGCCATATCTCTCAATTGTTCATTATAAGTTTCTTTCGAATCGAAAAATCCAACCCAGTGGCTACAATTTTTACCAACTCATGCTCAGGAATATTCGTGTAACATCGAGACTTTAGTTGCCTAAATCTATTAAAATATTCGTGCAACGTATCATGATGTTGCCTCTTTATATTCATCAAATCAACTATGCTCACCCTGATTTCCTCTAGAAAAAAGTTTTCGTGGAAACTCCTTTCCAACTGTGTCCAAGTAATAATCGAATTAGGTGGCAAAGTCGTAAACCACGCCTAGAAGCAAGGATTCGTCCATTCTTGATCATTCCTCCTATCCCGGCAATTGCCGTTTTTGCATGGAAAAGTCTCGGTGTTTGAATCATCGATTTGGGCGTGTGATGCCCCCAATTACTAATAAGTGTTCCCCGATTTGATATGTCGGGTTCGCATTTGATTACAATAATTTCCATTATCCGGCTAACACGTACAAATTAGATTTCACTTTTTATTTACAAGGAAGGCATGTTATCTATATGAAACATAAAATAGAATGCAAAGACACTTGAGAAATTCAACAAATATTATTCTCATTGATTCTTGTTTAGAGAACATTCTTTGCATACTATTATATGTGCCTTCGATTTCTAATGAATGTATGCTAATGCACTATCCTAGGAGATGCATGATATTTATTTTCTACCTAAATTTTATCATGTTTTTTTGACTAAGGGTTATGATGCATGATTTTTTTTAGCTATATTTTTTTGTTTTTTTTTTAAATAAACTACCCTATATGATGCTTTAGAGTTAGGGTGTACAGAAGAGTGTTAGTTTTTTTTTTATTTTATATATTTTATTTTATTGATATCTGTTTGTTTGTCTATAATTCCTTTCTATTTGAAATGAATAGAGAGAACACAACAAATGAAACACACATATGCTCAAACAAATGTACACCCGCGGACAGTCACATTCAAATCCTTGGTCTGTGGTCCCTATAAGAAAAGTGCATTGTATAGGGCGGTTCTAATCTCACCGATCTTTAAGGCTCCCAAGGTGCCCCCATTATAGGGACCCAGTATCTTTGTCACCGTCACTTGACAAACTCTAAGGTCTATCCCAATATTTCGAGCTAGAGTAATCGGTTATCACCTTGAGTGTGATTTTCGACAAGGCTCGCAGGCTCCAAGGCTAAACTTGGGCCAGTCGAACGTCAACCAATCCCTATGTTTATTACCCTCATGCCCTCGGGTGTACGGGGAACTGTTGTGTGCAAAGGATTATATATAATTTTATTCAAAAGGGTGCAGAATTTAATCAAGCAAACAAATATGAAAGCCAAACAAATAAAGCAAACAAAGTAAAGGGGGAAAATATTTAAATTATTATTTTTATTTTATTAACTTCATCAATTAAATGGGCCTAACCCTCTTTAAACGTTCCCAGTGGAGTCGCCATCTGTCGCAACCCGAAAATTTTCGATCTCGCGACCTATGATTTAGACATCCTTTTAAAAGTCTCATTAATTAAGGAATGCCCGGACACCAGACTAATCCTTAATTAATGGTTTT